TTTAAAATATTTCGGTTGCCAATTCATTTCGGTTTGTATAAGTTTATGAAAAATGTATTAAATTATAATAAATATTAAAAAAAATGTGAAAGTAGGATTTAGCAAACTCATTATAAATTGAAAGTGAAGTTTGTCTACACAATCAGGTTGAGGACTTTCATTCGCTCCTTGATGAATCCTGTAGTGCTACACTATTTAAACTATTGCATATGATTTATTAGATCTTTAGTTCTCAAAGTGAATCTAGCAAATGATTATAATTCTAGAGGGAACGACAAGCTAGAGTGTGTAAATTCCCTTTTTAGTTTTTTAGAAGGCGAAATTATGCGCAGAGTGTGACAAAAAAATAAAGTGTAGAACCTTTAATGTTGTTTCGACAATATGTCAAAGTCGATTTAAGGTAGACTGAACAATCAATTCGAGTCTCGAAATTATGTATTATGCAAATTTTTGACAAGTTTTGGGTATAATATAAGTGGTAATAAGGTAGGAAACTTGCTTGCAATGTTAGGCAACTCTTTAAAATACAAATATATAAATAAAAATAATTGTTTAATGCGTTAATAATTGGGGATCTTGTAATATTTTCGAGAGATTTCATCTCTTCATTGCTTGCGATCTGATAAACTATACAAACACGCGTGAATTGACCTAATAAATTCTGGCTATTTTTTAATATTAGCATAAACGCATATATCTTACATGCATATGTATAGGTAAATTATATTATTTCAAGCCCAATAACTAATTTTGTCTTAACTGCTTTGAATTTGTTGCTTAATATTTTATTTATTTATTTTTTTTTACTTTTGTTATTGTTTTATTTGAATATCTGTTTTAAATTATCACAACCGTCACATTTGCCGCACAAACAAACGACGATAAACAATAAATTCGTAAACGCTCGTGACCGTCAATCAAATCGAATTTACTTTTCACATGCACACTTTGAATTACATGTATTGTATGTATATAATAAATTTACATATGTAAATATATAGCGAATTAATTGGGCAGTAAAAATATAATAAAAGCAAATTTGATAGAAAAAAAATTGCTAAGGTCATCAATGTCGAATTGATTGGTTTTGTTTTCCAAAATTAAGCTCATGGCTGTACTTCTAAAATAAAGAAAAGGAAAGACAACATATAAAAACCAATTTGTGTGGCAATCAAACATCGCTAATTATAACTTTAAAGTAAAATTAATTCTAAAAAATAAAGTCTATAAAGTTAAATCAAGTAAAAAATATGCAAAAATATATATCAAATGACTCTTTCGTTGCTTAAGCTAATTATTTATATATATAGTTAGAGATTATGCCTATAAACACACAAACGTCCAAAAAAAGTTATAAGTAATGCTTCTCTTTGTCTATATGAAAAACGGCAATTGTCCGTTCAACATATTCCCCCGCCCGCATGAGTAGTCAATCAAGTTTCGCATTGCTGCTCTTCAAATTCGGACACAATCGCTGCCATCGTCGTGCACTTGCTTAGCAATTGTGACATTTAACCAGCCCAACTTCGTCGCAATTCATGCATTTCAGTGCCACAAATTCGGCCGTGAAGTGATTTCGATGCACCGACTTTTTCGAGCCATTACATGAGGGGCATGGCAGTAGGCGGTAGCCGCCGCATGTTTGACACGTGAATGTCGTGGCAATTGACTGTAAGACCAAACAATAAAAATTAAGTATCAAAATTTAATTCAAATATATAGTTAAAATATAACTTAAAATCATCAAGTGGAATATTTTATTCAGTAAGAGTAAAAAATATTAAATATATAAATTTAAATTTTTAAATTAAAAAAATAATTAAAATAAAAAGTTAACTGTAAAAAGATTTAATTTAAATAAATAAATCAAAATTCAAATATAAAGAGGAAAATTAATTAAATGTTTTTTTAGTGACAATTAAAAATTAATCACGTTTAAAAACACAATTACAAATAAAATTGTAAAAAAAAAAATATAAAAAAATACAGTAATAAATGAAAAAGCAAAATTCTTAAAATATATGTGTAAAAATCGATCACAAATTAATCAAAATTGAAAAATAGAACTACATTAAAAATAATATTAAACAAAATCGTAAAGAGATACAAAGAAATACGTAAAAAATTATAAAATGCGAAAAAAATTCTGTGTAAGAGGTTTTAAAACAAACAACACATAAATTAAAATAATTGAATAAAAAAGGTAACAAAATAAATTAGAAATTTCAAAAAATGAAAAATAACAACAACAAAAAAACAAAATGTGCAATTAAAACTACAAATAAATCAGATAAATAATGAAAAGTAAGAAAATTATGAAATTATTAAAAAATAGTTAAGGTAAAAAAAATCGAAATTAAAAAAGGTAGATATTATAAAATGTAAATAAATAAAAAAGTTAAAAAAATATTTGTTAAACAAAAAATACGAAAAT